AAATTATAGGTATCTTATATTATTAGATATATTATTATAAAACATGCTTTAGTTAAGGAGTTATTGATACTTCAAGTGCAAAATAATGATATAAAACCATGATAAAAATACACTTTTAAGTACTAATCAACACTACTACAAGTTTGATGCTTGATGACCGACATCTGCCTCGTTTTTTTTTTTTCCTTGTGACCGACATCTGCCTCGTTTTTTTTTTTTTTTTCCTTATCGAGGAGTTCTAGGAATGTAAGATAAGGATCTAGTTTTGAAAAGACAATTACAATATGAAAATTAAATGATACCGCATGGCCATTACTAATAAATGGTATTATAATAGTTTATTTAGTAAAAAGCTTCTCTCCTTTTTCTTTTAGATAACCATGGCTAGGGTTTTCTAGGGTTGAAGACGTGGATTCACTTGTATGTTCATGTTTTGTTGGTTGGATCCATGCCTTTATTGGTGGACCATGTCTCGTACAATAATTCGAAGTAAATATTATAAATTTAATGTGTTTAACTAATGATGCCGTACGTTCCTGTATTCTTTCTTTTTTGTTTAAAAGTTTTTTTATTAGTATTTGAAATATTTTTTATTGAGAAAATGGATTATGAAATCGTTTTGGGGAGCAGAATTTCCTCAAGATACACTGAACTTGTTTAATGCTTCATCCAGGTCTCATTTCACCGCCCGTTACCTGGACCGAAGCTCAAAGTCAGAAGAGGGGGATTTTGATTTATCATGTCATGTGTACAGTACACAAGAAATCACCTAGATTTGGCTTGGATTTGTTTCAAAACCTCCTTACAATTTTAGAAATATATGATTCTCCAATTCCATGGTGCTGGATGTTTATTACTCGTCCAATGATCTTGATCAATTTTTGGTGTGAATCTAATGAATGACAAGAATGGTATTTTGGCGCAGAAGTCAGGTTTATTAAAAGCAGAGAGCAACAATAGAGAGAGAGAGAGCGGAGGTAGAACATGAAATCTCTGAAGTGAAATGGCTTCAAGTCTTAGAGACGACTTAACCTTAAAGACAAGGAAACGCATTAATATTCAATCCTTGGTTGATTCCACGATGATACTGAATTGAGTAAAACATTGAATATACAAACTGCAGTAGCTGAACAGTATGCCACCAGTGAAGCGATCTCGTGACCGTGAGAGGGGAACTTCCTCCCATGCAAATATACCCTTAGTTGTCAAAACAATTATAAACAAATAAACAACTGCTTTCTACCACAAAAAATATAAATAAATAAATAAACAACAACTTCCATAAGGTATTATTATAAAAAATTCTCATTCTTTGAACAATAATTTGGAATTGGAAAATGCCCTTGACAGAGAAACCCACGCAAGCTGAGAATAACTTCTCATTCCCTCACTTAATCCTATGATAACTCCTTAAAGTAACAGAAAAAAGACATATCATGCCCATGTGCACTTCCTGCCACTTCCAACTTGACTCCTTTGAGACCTCTCTATGTGCGCACTTCTTAAGACCTCGCTAGTTGTTACCAAAATAAACCTATCCAACTCATAATCTTAATGCAGACGAACTCCAACCAATTAACTTTAAGCCCTCTTACACACAAGTAGCACCTCGTTGAGACCTAGGCATACAATCACTCTTTCTACACTACATCCCCATTCTCTGTAGGGAACTACTGCAACTATTATGACATGACATGCGTCATATGAAACCAAAACGCGCATGAAAACAGACCTCGAATCATTAAAGCATCTTTCATTTCTTTGCCTTCAGAGGAAAATATTAGTTGGGTATGTATGACTTGAATTCCTCCTTTATGATACCTCTGACCTCTCAGTTTCCTCTGAAATGTCCTTAAAGTCAAAGGGATGTTCTATGGATTTCCCTAGATATTTCTGTAAGAAAAGAAGAAAAACTAAAAGCCCACTAGCTAATCCTTTATTGTGATTCTTGATCTTGCTTGGTTTTCCACTTTGAACATAAACCTAGGGTTAGCTAGGGTTTTGATGGTGGTTGTTTTTACTAATTTAATTATTTTACTCTCTAATTATTTAGGCAAATGGCTTATGCTAACGAAAAGATGGATAACTAATTATGGATTATGCACAAACAAAAGAAGAAACAAAAGAGGCGTAGTTAGTGGCTAAAAACCATGACGTGATAATATTCTCTTTGTGATTAAGTAAAGGCATATTATATAATCATTTGCAATACTTAAATGGATGATTTGCAATTCTTAAATGCTGTGATTCCCATAGTAGGTAGAAACTTTTGGAGGGATTATAAACACGACACAGGGAGAGAGAGAGAGAGAAAAAGTGATAGAAGAGAACACAAACAAATGGACTTTTGCGAGAGATGATATATTGAAACTATAACAAATCTGATGATGAAGATAATAGTACAAGAAAAAAGGGAATCGATGTTGTGATGTATCTGACTTATGTGTCCTTGGAAACCAATCTCTGTGTGTCTTATGCGTTCAGTTTAATTCTCTGATAGAATGTCAGTGAGGTGATGAATGGGGATATGTGCTCACGTTATTCCATGCAGTTTTAGCCATTACCTTAAACCTGATTAATCTCACCACCAAAACTCCAAAACTGCCATTATTGGTCTCTCCGTCCCTCCTGTCTTTCTTTCTCAGAAAAACAAACATTATTGCAATTAATTCCATCTTAATTTGAAGCACATCCCAGTTGTAGATCAATGCTAAAACTTCTCCAGCTAGTCCAAAACTTACGAGTTCTTAAACGAATTTTCTTCTGTGAAGTATGCCGAGAGAATTAAACAGCAGAAAGATTTTGCATAAAAAATTAACTGTGTTTCGCTGAGCGTATGAGTTAAGAATTTTTGAAAATAAAGCAAGAGAAGATGTCGATATACTTCTTAGTAAATATGGTAATAAGAGTGCAAAACAACAACGAAATGAAGTGGATAGGCATAGAAATTATCGTGATCCATTCATAATTGCCTTTCCGTGGTTAGTAACTATGGTCGATGCAATAAAAAAAATCGCTATTATAAACAAGATATTGCGGAAGATAGATGAGCTCTTCATGTTTTTCTGTCATGTTTTTCTTAATATTGTTATTGTTACATGCAACTGGCAAAATCATGAACGATTGAGAGATTGCCGAAGTGATCAAGGATCTAACAAAGAAAAGAGGCCATGATCTCATGATCTAAGAAAGGAAAAGAAGAAAAAACGGCAAAGAGGAAATCAAACAACATAATAAAGAAGGTGCCAGACGGCCAGTAATATGTTTGATAGCACTCGAGATTCTGCAACTACTTTACCTTAGGCCGGTCACCAAGCCTGAGCTCAAGATCCAATTCATCTACAGTGCAAGGGCTAATTTCAAACATCTCAGACTGGACATGATTTTTATCAACTGAATTACACTTTAGAAAGAAAGGTAATGATGATTTATCAATCCTCCGTTTCTTGCAGCTCATAGGCTCCTCCCCACAGTCTGATATGCTCGGGCGACTTCGTCGAACGACTAAATTCAAGCTGACAGACAAATCTGTTTGGACATAATCTACTTTGGCTCTACATCCTGATTCTATTTTCCTTGAATTCTGCTCTCCTTCAGTGCTTAGAGAAGATATATGACATCTTTCTTTTGCTAACTTAGTCTGTTGCGGGGGGGAAGATTTATGGGATCTCTTTTGTTGTTCTTCAACAATAAAAGAAGTGAAAGGAGGGGAAACGGTTTTATTACAGAAATTCTCTTGAGTAGATGTAATTGAAACCCTAGAAGATGAAGTTCGGGATGGAATAACACCAGGATCTGGATTAGGGTTAGGGCAATAATCCAAGGTACAAAGCTGAGATGGGTATTGAAAACCGAAAGATGTATAGGGATTTTGAGGGTGATTGCGAGGTTTCTGATGCTCATGATGGAGAATTTCATTGTGAGGACATGAAGATTGCTTGAGTCTAGCTCTATCCCTCCTGTGGACATTCATGTGACCTCCTAGAGCTTGAGCAGACCTAAATTCTCTTCTACAAAAGCTACAAGAATAAGATCTTGGAGGCCATATACATCCTCCGAGAGGACCAGCTGCATCTTCAGCGAAAGCTTGTTCTTCCCAAGAATCATCAAACGAAGGATTGGTTGAAGCCTGAAAATGAGAATCCAAACTATGCTTCCGTTTTGTCAACATCCAATAACGAGCTTGCTCCATATGCTGGACTATATCGAGAGATTCACCCTTCCATGCTTAAAGAACATACAAGATTAATAATAGGAAAAGTATTAGAACTTAAAGTTGATAGAAAATGGGAGGAGATGGGATGCAAGAAGGACAGATAAAGGGCTTAACTGATTGCTAAGAGTAGTGGTCGGGAATATAAATTGGTGGGTATTCTACCATGGTTGTCTTAGTGCAGCTACTTTTTTGGTTTTTGTGTTTGGTTCTCAACACTATCAACTGTATAAGGGGGACGATGGTTTAGTATTCACGGGAGTGGGTCCAAGGAGCCTCGCTTGCTTGTGCTGTTTATCTGTGCTTATAGACAAACTGAAATCATGTCTGACTGAAACAATCCGTGGAAATACCCAGCAAAAGTCGAAAAGATGCTGTAAAGGTGTACATATTTGGGCTACACTATACTGTATGGTTACTTCTGTTTTGGACACGAAATTACCACTACGATATATACCAAGCATTGTTTTCCGATCTGTGGACTGCCCTCTTCGAAGAATGCCCAAAGGTGCAGTGGTTATACTGCAGCATTTTTACTATAGCCATAAACTTATTAGCATCACAATTGATATAATAAAATTATGATTTTGCCTTCATCAACAAAAACAAATGGCCTTCGCAACTGTCCATGGTGGTATATTTTTTTTTTAAAGAGTAAAATAACTAATATACTTTTTAATACTCTAAAAACAAGGGGGATTTTTATTTTTTTAGTTTGATGTGTAAATTTTATTCTAGTTATCAAACTTTGTTTTTGGGTGATTTGGTCTAATTTAAAAAGTAATTGATTTCAAATTTTTATGAAATGGTAGGATTGGCATAGGGGGGATTGAAATGAAAAACACAACAAATATAGGTGAAGTGCCGTAAATTTTTTTAAAAAATACACTTTAGTCCTCTATCTTAAACAATCAAGCAAATTATACAATTTTCGTCCCTCAAAATTGTTCCGATTCCATTTTGCTACATACGTTTATTTTTGTTAGTTTTTTGCCCTAGGTTGAGAGATGAGAAAAAAAGGGGTCCTCGAATTCCTACAGTAGAAAGATAAACTTATTGTTGCAACAATTTAGACCATCAAAATAGAGGATTGATTAATATTTAAAAATGTATTTTATCAATATTTTATATCATCATTTTGCACTTAAAGTATCAATAACTACTTAGCTAGAGCATGTTTTATAATAACATATATAATAATATAAGATATATTTAATTTATAGTAAATGTTTATTTTAAATGCAGGTCTATCCCATAAATCAAGAGATTAATTGTTGAGCTTAACTACTAAAATTAAAAAGACAAAGAGAGAGATAAGATTAGAAAAGAGATGATGGTTCAGTCCAAACTGGAACACTATTCAATTTTTAGATCATAACTAAAGCTGTAGAATTTGTAATTAGGTCTCTTTTATATGGATGAAAAGTTAAGATATAAGCTTAAAACTTTCATGAAGAGTCCAAAATTTAAAAAGGTCATTTTCAAGTTTAAATTGTAGCAACAACGAAGAAGTCTGAATATGTCCTGTAGCCAAGACATTATTCAGTGTTCAGCCTATATCTCAAGTTCTAGAAGTCAAAATGCACCGATTTTTTTTTTTTATAAAGCTGAGATAATTTTCTAAAACTTTCATGAAGATATTTTGTTCAAATTTTGATGTTAGTAATGATGTTTTCTCTAAACAAGAAGATAAGAATTATCATCGAGTCAAGATGTAATCACCCACTCGACAATTAATCAACAAATCAATAGTTTAAAATTTTGGCCTATAAAAGAAAACATTTGCCATGCATTTAGACATCTTGGTTTTCAGATCAATATCATGTTCTTGTTTTTTATTTATATTTTTGAATGCTTAAGTTTTGCTTTTATTAATCTCTTGTTTATGCCTTTCATTTCTTTTCCTTTACTTAGTTAACTTATATTTTATTTATGTTATTATCTTGTTTAATTATGTTTCTTTCTTTCATTATATTTAGTTAAGTTTATTATATTAAGGTAAAAATGTTACACTAATTGTGTAAAAATAAGTATAGTATAAACTCAACATGGACCTTAATGTTTGATACTGATATGCTTTGTATTTGTTATCTTATTCACTTTTAATGTTTTGCTTGTTAAATGGTTAATCTAGATTTATATTGTATAACCCTTGGTACAATAATTATTTGGCACTTTCATAGCCCAATCGTATGGTATAACTAACATTTGTGCTATGAAAGCAACTTTATTTGTTGTTAACATAAGTTATAATCATGAATAC